ATCGAGTTGTTTTTTGCCAAGTGAGGTCGACCATAAATCGATTTTTTTTAGAAACGCCTTAATTTTATCTGTGGCTGTAATTATATTAATGTCGCGACCTTGTAAATTACTGTTCAAAATATTTAATTGCTCGAAAATATCAGCAAGGAAACCTAGTTTCAGAAGCCAAATAGGATCGGAAAATTGATTTTCATATGGGGACTTCTCATCTTTCAAATACATTAAAAGCTCTGCTCTTAAGTGAAATACTCTTTTTAAGACGTTGCCCCTTGAAAGCCACCTTACTTCGGTGTGATAGAGAAGATTTTCAAATAAAGCACCCATGTCTTCGCAAATTTTTCTAAAAATACGGGTCTGCAAAGCTTTTCCTTTAATGGAATTTACAACTTTAATGATGGTTTTCATAACACAGTCCATTTCAGGAGGTAAAGCTTTGGACGCAAGAGCTTCTCGATGTAAAAAACTATTTCTTGTAATTTGACGACAAGACCAGATTTATGTCCTGTCATAGCTTTAGCGCCATCTGTGCATATAGCAATACATTTACCCCAGTCAATATCATATTTACTTGTACGTTTCACAAAAGTGTCGAGTAAACATTTTCCAGTGGTATTGGTCTCCAATGGGGAACAAAATAAAATATCTTCTTGAATGCCATTATTTTAAAGTATCATATCTTACAAACGTAATGAATTGGGCACAGTTAGATATATCTGTGGATTCGTCTATTTGAAGAGAGAAGTGCGTGCATTTATTAAGATTTTCCATAACTTGTGCTTGAATATCTTCTGCCATATCACTAATTCTTCTTTGGATAGTATTATTTGACAGAGGTATTGTATTTAATTTTGCAGCCTCTCTTTTCCCACACATTATATGTACCATTTCAACAGCTGCTGGAAAAATCAGATTTTCAGCAATTGTGTGCGGATTACTAGTTTTGGCAACACGATAAGCAACTTTATAACTTGCTAATAATGCTTTTTCATTAGTAGTGGTTGCCAAGGGAAAACTGTCTTGCTGTTTGTGAAGGACTTTAGCTTTCTTTCAAAGAATTCTACGGGCTTGTCTTTTTTATCTGGATGTTTGCTATTTAAATGTCGAAGTAACTTTGATGGCTTCATGCTTTCTTCTGACAAGACTTGTCCACGAATCTGTTTTTCTTTTATTGCTGCTACCGCCACTTTCAGACGTAGATGGTTCTGCACTTCTTTTTAAAAACATAATTTATAATTTATCGTAGACGTAAATACGTAAACAGGAATACGTAAGTCGTAAAATATTTACTCATTACTCAACACCGCGTTCGCCACCATAGGCTGTTTGGATTCGAAATGAGGTTTCGTTGCGCATCGCCGCTTATATAAAGCCAAAACGAGGCTACGAGAACGTTCCAGAGTGCCATCTAGTAGCGAGCGCTTTCGCGATTATCATGGAAGAGTTTTGCGATGTAGACACAAGCTAATATGTCGCGGTGTACAATGTGCAGTCGACTTCTTATTATTTATTTTTATTGTAAATGCTATTCTGGCAGAAGTACCTACTACTAATTACTAGTGGGACAGATCGCAATCATTAAAATAATTGTATTAAAATAAAATAATTGTTTTTGATTTAAACTTAAACAGTAAAGTAAAATTAAATTTGAGAAACCATCAGATAATTGTAAATTAGGCACGCTATTTCTGTCAAATAATATTGAATAAATGAGTGGGGGGAAATTGGGAGGTCGCGAACAAATTTTTTAGCAAAAAGGGGTCGCGGTTTAGATAAGTTTGGGAAACTCTGCTATAAACGACATTACACTGCTGGGAACAGTTAGTTCGTTATACCTAGGTTTATGACACAAAAATGTGTTACTTTATCTATATTTATTATATGTTATAATAACATATTATACCTAACATTTAACATATGTGTAGGTATATTGTACTTACGTATATCTAAATATTTACATACATATAATATGTATAATATGTATTAAAATAAGTATAAGTAGTTAATAAAGTATACTCATAATATAACGGCTTCTCAAAATCTTTGTATTATAAAAATGTAAGCATACATATACTATTTATTTTTAAAAAGACAAAGAAAAATACATACATTTATGTATTAACAAATATGTAAATATAACATTTTACCTGAATATTTAATGAAAAAAGTCTGTAATTTTTGTTTGTCGCCTTTCTTGAACTTCTGAAAAAAAACATTTTTTCAACTGATGTGGAAACAATCGATATTGATTCTTTCACACTCTGGGAAGTTTCAGCAGTCTGAATAAATGCTTTTATGGTGGAACAAGCAGCATACGCTTCAGCAACAGTAGGGATTTTGCTAAAATCTTCCAATTCTTTATCAGCCTCATCAGTACTTTGTTTGTCACAAGTTTGGTGACTCAGTACGATGTCAATATTTGACAGTTCTTCGCCCGTACTTATTTCGTCATCCACTCGTACATAGTCATTTGCAGAGCAGTCAGAACTGAGATGAAAAATGGCATCCTGCAAATACGTTTGTGCAATATCGTTGTATGCGATTCCTGATGGTTGTAAGTGGTTAGTTAGGTACGAAAGATGAAAACAGTTGACGATCGTTTCCTTCCGCACAGATTCCATGCTCTTGATATCATTAGTATAGCGTCAAGTATACTGACTTTCGTATCGTCGTTATTCTTTTTTTCGATGATTTTATACACCAATTCTTTCCGAAAGCATGCTTTAGACTTCTTATAATTCTTGGTCCATGGGCTGTAGTACAACGTACGATTTGGAGGCAGAAAAACGAGCTTAATTTGTTTTAACCTGTCAACTGAGGGATGGGACGGACAGTTGTAAACGCTTCCTTTTTATGGAACTGTAACTCGCTCTTTTGAGAGTTTACCACCGGAACATTTCTTCCCTTTAAACTTTAATGTGTGATCAGATAATCCCATCTCGTCAGCATTCAAAATTTCATCATCGCTATAGACGGACCTGAGTGTAGGCCACACATTTTCAACCCAGTCATTTGTAATTGATCTGCCAACAACTGTTGACTCACCTGAAAATTTTCCATGGACAATATTGTGGCGAGCTCAGAAACGTTGAACCCAGGAAGCACTACACTTAAAATCCTGATTCAAAATTACAGTGAAAGCGTCAGCCTTTACCTGAAGCATCGACTCACTTACGGGTACATGTACGTACGTACATGTACGTACGTGTTTGCGCGTTGTTGTTTGAACCAATCGAGCAAAGCACTTTCAATCTCACTGTGATTTAATGACCGAACGCGTTTTCCTTTTTCACATTTATTAAATTGCATAATAATTTTGTTTCGCCGTTTCATCACTCCAGCAATTGTTGATCGTGACGTTTTAAATTCCCGGCAATCGAACTCGCGGAATCACCGAAATCGACTCGGCAATTTATTCCAAACTATTTCTCAATAGTAAATTGTTTCCGTGACATGTTTTCTATGAAGGCCAGACACAACTGAATTTCAAATTCAGAAACTCTTGGCTTGGGCCAAATGGTGTAATATAAACAAAATTTTGTAATACAATGGACCCGTCTTACTTACTTACTTACTCCGTGGCGTTACAACCCTTCGTGGGTTTTAGCCGACTCGACAACATGGACCCGTCTTGGGAGGTCTAAATGTCTAAAGGACAAGTAACCAGGTGTAGAACCCTGCCGGATGTACTATAACCATAAATTAATAATTCCTTCCTTCTCATTTCATGGTACTAAATATTCCTAATACCCGTGAGAAATACAACACGACAATGTCCATTTTCATAACTTTACAGGATATCACTTCTAAACTTATTTATTAAGATGTGGAAACAATATTATATTGAACATTATATCTACTGTCATTTACATCATTCATTGGTTATAATTATTTATTATTTATTTATTATACAGTGGGTAAAAATGTCATAATTGAAAAAAATGGATGTTGTATCATCTAAGGTACAGATATGTATCAGTATTTATGTTCAGTATTTTTAAAAGTCGATAGATTTGACTGTTTTAGTTTTTAGATCCGATGTTAATTTCGATGCAAAATATTCGACTACCTCGCTTGTTTTGGCTTACCGTTGTAATAAAATATATCATATCTTTAAATAACAAAAAATAAAGTAATTCTTCTATAAAATGTATAAGAATTTTTGTTGTAAAAGCAATTTCTTGGTTGAACATCCGAACATTTAATAAACTAATTCCTCAGGTAATGGCTTCAGATTCATATTCATGTTCAAGTTTATGTTTAGGCCTTCCGATTGAAATTTATTTTAAAAATATAAGTAATTGCCTGTCTTTAATATTGCCATAAAATAGTCACAACCTAATATGATAGTGGCAATTTAATTTTGGAATAAATTACATGGTTTTCAACGCAATTGGATTTGGGAAAGTTGCAGATGAAGTTGAAATACGAACGCGAATAGAAAAGGCCAGATCAGTCTATTATATGGAAAATATCCATACAAACTTTACTTTATCATTGAATGTTAAATCGATTTATAAATTGTAGAAGTAAATAGTATAATACAATTGGAAGCCTTAATGTCACTATTACGAATAATAGCAAATATTCCATTGACAACGCAGAACAAATATAACGGTATGTTACGACTAGCGAAGGAAGGTATGTAAGCATTAATTACAAACGTAAAATGGGTTACCTAGGACATACTTATCATGGAGAGAAAAATAGCTTCCTATGTCTTGTGATAGAGTGAAAACATTGGTGAATTCCACAGGATATAATTCAATTTTAGCGTAATGTTAACATTTCGTAATAGAAAGGGGGCGTTTCCATTGCGTTCACCTAATCTTAAGGTTTCTTTAAGCTTTTAAGGTCTTGTTTGTTTATTTATTGATCAGTAACTAACCAATCACTAGTGTAATATAAAAAAAGTCTTAATTTACAAAACATTTTTATTTTTAGCTTTTTTGCTATTTTTAAAATTTAGTTTCCACATATTCTTTCTAGTAGATTTGCACTGAATGATTTTAATTTTTAAATATAGGTGTCGCGTTGGATGGTGGGGAGAGAACTGCGAGAAATGTTACCCCTACCCAGGATGTGTGCATGGAACTTGTCGCAGACCCTGGGAGTGCAATTGCAAAAAGGGATGGGGTGGAATGTTATGTGATCAAGGTAAATATTTAGTACATTTATACACAAGAGAGTATTTTAATAAATGTTTAAAACAACAATAAAATATTGCAGCATATTTACCTGTCGTAATATATATTTTATGAATTATTGTATTTAAACTGTACAAGAACCGTCAAAAGGCACTGAGGTTCTGCCTACTCTTCAGTGTCGAGTGAAAACCGGTCTTACTTTGTTCACCGGGTAAGACCATGTTCTTTTGTAAACCACATAGTTTTAACTGTGACACATGACAGACTCTTTTTAATCTTTAAAAACCAATTGAGCAACGACACTAAAAATACTTGCACCTATTGCACACCCATTCATTTGTTGGTATGTATAAAAGTATGTTGTCCTTATATAAAAAGTATGTTGATTTTAAATTATTTAATTTGACGTGTCGTCTTTTTTAGCATTTGAAAAAACCATCTAATTTGGGAAAACTAATTTAAATGGCATCTTACTATTTTTAGTGAGGAAAAGCTAAAATTTTACTTTAAAATAAGTTTTTTGAGGTTTCGATTTTCACTTCGTAAGTTGTTCTAAAATTGCAAAAGATTGATAAATAACATTTATTTTTTTTTGTACTTTGTTATGTCAGAAATAAAAATTAAAATTTAAAAATAAAAGACAGCCGACTTGTTGAAACAATTTTTTTCAAGTTGATTGAAGATGTCGAAGTGCAGGAATAATAATAATTTTATTTCATAGGAATTCAACATATTCTATTGCCTTAATTATTAAATATTTCCCTTTCCTTCGATGAAAGAAGGACCAATAATATGATCTTCCAAAATTACATTCCAAACATTCAACTTTTGTAGATACTCCATACGCACAAACACACTCAAATGCTGATTTCTCTAAGACTAATGGATGCTATCATGCCAGAGTGAATCAAAAGCTAAAATTGAAAGTTTTCAGTACAACAGTTTAAAATTATATATACTTCATCTAATTTACTTACCGTTGCACGTCATTATCATTGACAGAGATCGAAGTTGACATAGTTGCCAAAGTATAAAAAACCCTGATCATTTTAAATCAATAGGTCACATAATTATGCAAAAGTATTACCATCTTTACAACTACTATTTAAATTTTACCTGACATTTTTGAAATAAAACACACTAAAGAACAGATTTTATTAAATAGGTAATTATATAAAACAAGAGGTATTCACTTTAAAATTCAAAAAATAGAGTAAAATAAGTGTCAATACCGCAACTGTCAAATAAGTGTTACCAATTTATGCCAAAATATCACCTTCGTTCGACTACAGTTACAGTGTGTTACGAACAAATGTTCTTCATTAAAATGCTTTATAATGCATTTATACAAATTAAATACATTAATAGAAATCTTATAATATCGCGTATTTCTACGCGTATATATTAAAATATGTCTAGTGGTTGTAATGCCAGTGTACTCGGCAAAGTGATTTCTAAAAAAGAACACACCTACCGCCTAAATATTTCGTATTGGTATCATGTGACCTCATGGACTATGACGCGGATGACGTGCAACGATAAGTAAATTAGATGAAGTATAAGTGTTAGTGAAGTATAAGTATAAAATATACACAATATTTTTGGCAAACTTTTTAGTTTTTAGTTCTGTTTGGCATGAAAAGTATAAATAAAAAAAGGGTTATTCTTTGTTAAATGGGTATATTTATTTAAAAAAACCCTAAAAAGGGTACATCAAATAAAAAAAAACGTTTTCTGACCACACAGTCCATCATCAGGTTTTAAAATCGAAAAATGCTAGGTCACAATGCCTGAGCCACCAAAATACTAGGGTAAAAACCCTTTAAATTACATTTAGTTATAAAAGATTATACATTGTGTTGTAAAATAACTGTGATGTTCAGTATTAAATTAAATTTGGCTAGAGGTAACACATGGCTGAAGCGAGTTCCAGGCTAGATCACTTGATAGATGGAGCCAGTTTTGAAGTCTAAGAGACTATAAAATTTATCGACTTATTTTTCTAATGCAATTGGTGATATTATATTATATCCTTTGATATTTCTTGCCTTAACACCTGTAACACTTTTTAGCTTTCCGTACTTCTGCCTTCTCTAATGTAAGTACGTATTAATTTTTGTACAATTTATCGCCAACCTTAATTTTTTCCTTTTCTCTACCATTATCCGTATTCTAGCTGGTTGTTTTTTAAATTATTTATTATTCTGAAGACTTTTTGTGTTAAGGAATTCGTTATATTTTTCTTTTTGACATAAATTTTTATAAATTTCTGATTCTACCAATATGGATTTCTTTTTTCTTCTGTAGACATTAATTTTTGTAATTGTGGCATTGTTCGGTAATTTAATTTAATTTAATTTAATATTTCTCATAAAGATAATTTTTCATCTAATAGCTTTTAATATTGCTCTTTTACGCTTTCACGATTGAGGCTCTTTAAATTATACCTTTGATCATCAGCATGCTTTTGTTTTTCCCCTGTCGCATTTTTATTGTTCTTATATATTACGTAGAATAGAACCACTAATACGCTCATAATAAAAATTTCTCAGTTGTTATAATTCTTAGTTTCAGTACAAGGCGTAGAGATTTTTCGATCAAGGTTACTCAAACATTCTTATACATCCAAATACATCGGTAATGACAATTATCCCTGAACATCTACTGTCTGCCAAGCATTACATTAAGTTTTAAATAAATAATCGTGGTATTCAGTAAGATGAAAGAACTGATACTACCTTATAAAATCTAAAATTCTCAGCAGAAGTCACAGAGTTTTACCTACATAATATGCCACATAGAAGCACATTCTCTTAAAAGCATATTTTAAGATTTAAAGGGAAAAACGGTTGCTTTTGAAAAAAAATTCAAATCAAAATCCTTTCAACCGATAAATGTCAATGTGGAATAAGATCAGGTGGTCTTTATTATACATTTTTTGATAGTTTCTTACAGTCAAGTATCACATGGATACTGTTGGATAATCCAGAAATAATTGTTTAGACACCTTTTGACTTTACTGTAAAAAATTGATTTAAAAATTTAACAATAATGATTGCATGAATGATGTTGTTATGAAGCCGCCCTAATATTTCTCCTCGGCGGGAAAAGTGTATTGGCTGTAAAATTCTGTACGAATATTATTGTGTTTTAATTAGATTATTAAAAAATACTGATCAAAGCTACTTTTAAATTATTCATCAAGACGAAAGTCATATATGAAAATTTATTTTAAATTTGTATTTTCAGAACTTAATTATTGCGAGGAGAATCCAAATACATGCCACAACAATTCTAAGTGTATATCCCTACCAAAAGACGAAGGCAGTTATAAATGCTTATGCCCAGAGAGAACATTTGGTCGACATTGCGAACATACAGAACAGTCTATTCATGAACATCCGATAAAGTCCACAACGGAAAAAGCAGCAAACATTACAGCAATCACCGTAAAACCTATACAAAGTAATGAAAATAAAACTGATAATGGAAAACTAGAACCCGTTGATATTGACAATGAAACATAG